CAGCCTGGGCAGAGAGTACCACTGCACTCCAGCCTAGGTGACAGCCTGAGACACTGTCTCAATTAAAAAACCCTAAAAACTTAAACAAAAAACAAGAAAATATCATTTGTGTATGTAAATCATCTTTTTAAAAATAAATACTTTGGGGGGCTGACGAGGGCGGATCACAAGGTCAGGAGTTTGAGACCAGACTGGCCAACATGGTGAAATCCCATCTCTACTTTAAAAACAAAAAAACAAAAATTAGCTGGGCATGGTGGCATGCACCTGTAATCCCAGCTACTTGGAAGGCTGAGGCAGGAGAATTGCTTGAACCTAGGAGGCAGAGGTTGCAGTGAGCTGGGATTGCACCACTGCACTCCAACCTGGACGACAGAGTGAGACTCTGTCTCAAAAAAAAATGAACAATTCACATTAGCTATAAGGACAAGTTACTTAATTCCTTTGTGCCTCAGTTTCCTCATGACAATAATAACGGCTGCCTTTGAGTTAATAATAGATATCGTTTGAGGGCTTTTGTATGCCAGGCTCTGTACTAGTTTAATATGGGCATGGTGGTGGCACACGCCTGTGGTCCCAGGCTAATGCCTGTAATCCCAGCACTTTGGTGGACCAAGGTAGGCGCATCACAAGATCAAGAGTTCAAGACCAGCCTGGCCAATATGGTGAAACCCCATCTCTACTAAAAATACAAAAAAATTAGCCAGGCATGGTGACAGGCACCTGTAGTCCCAGCTACAGGAGGCTGAGGCAGGAGAATCACTTGAACCTGGGAGGCAGAGGTTGCAGTGAGCTGAAATTGCACCACTGCACTCCAGCCTGGGCAACAGAGCCAGACTCTGTCTCTAAGGAAAAAAATTAAACTGAAAGAAAAAAAGTAAAAAGACTGTGGAACTAGCAAGAATTTATTATTCCCATATTATGTGCAATGTTCCTGGGAAGCACTAGAGAAGATGATATAATGGTTCAAGATCGTAAGCCAAAAGCAATCCTAGGCAGCATATGATCAGTTATCAGAAGAATTCTCAGGCTGGGCAAGGTGGCTCACACCTGTAATCCCAGTAGTTTGGGAGGCTGAGGCAGGAGGATGGCTTGAGGCCAGGAGTTCGAGACCAGCCTGGACAACATAGTGAAATCCTGTCTCTATAGAAAAATGCAAAAATTGGCCAAGTGTGGTAGTACATGCCTGTAGTCTCAGTTATTCAGGAGGCTGAGATGGGAGGATTGCCTTGAGCCCAGGGAGGCAGAGGTTCAGTGAGCCAAGATCATGCCACTACACTCCAGCTTGGGTGACAGAGAGAGACCCTGTCTCAAAACATATATATATGTCTATCTTAGAGGTCTTAGTAGGAAATCGAAAAAGAGAGGAATTATTTTAGGCTGGGAGAGGCTTTACTGAGGAAATGGAATTTGAATGAAACTTTTGGAATGGGTAAGATTCAGACAGAGTGAGAGGAGAGAGAAAGACAAAGTTTTTGTGTATTTTCTTCTTTCTTGCTCTTGTCACCCAGGCTGGAGTGCAATGGCACAATCTCAGCTCACTGCAACCTCCACCTCCTAGGTTCAAGTGATTCTCCTGCCTCAGCCTCCCGAGTAGTTGGGATTACAGGTGCCCGGCTAATTTTTGTATTTTTGGTAGAGACGAGGTTTGGCCATGTTGGCCAGGCTGGTCTAGAACTCCTGACCTCGTGACCTGCCTGCCTCAGCCTCCCAAATTGCTGGGAATTCAGGAGTGAGTCACCTTGGCTGGCCCCCATGGGTATTATTTTCTTAATTTCACATGTGGGGAGATTGAAGCTCAGTAAACTTAAATAATTTTCTCAAGTTCACACAGTTAATGTGAGTGATGGCGCCTGGATTTGGATCTAAGTTTGTTGGACTCCAAAGCCCATGTTTACCTTTATATGCCCTATCCTTTGATTAGCAGTGAAATCTAAATTTTAATGTAAATTGAATAATAGTTGCTTTCTTAGATGTTTGTCCATCATGCTGCTTCAAAACTGAATGTCTTCCAATCAGGAATCTTGCTGTACTGAACCTGGAATAGCACTCTCCATGCTGTAATAGTACTTTTTAAGATGGGAACGGGTGGTCTATGAGTAACACACTTTGGAGAGACTTTGATAAAGACTAGTGTGTTCTTGGTGCTGCTGTGTTGACACCTAATTAGAAGTCAATATTGCAAGCATAATGACTTAGCCAATTGCTGAACTCACTGCCCAAGTGACACAGTTAGAGTCCCCAGGTAGTAATGAAAGATGAGTATTATTTGCCTGCCCAGTGCCACATGGTCACAGTGTTTACATTAGCACACAAATGCTGAAGTAGATTCTTCAGGGCTTATATCTAACTGCTTCTGGCCTAGGTTGCTAAGGTTAATATATCATAAAATTTGGTGTAAAACCCAATCTTTCTAACTACAAATGCATTTAGAGGAAAATTGACAGGTAATAGCTTTTCCTTCCTGAAAAACAAAAGAGATTTGGGGTTAGAGGGGCATGTGAAAGGCTAATAAAATATTTCTCCTCATACAGGCATTATATTAACTAGCTTCTTAAAAACCACAACCAAATTATCCTGATATTTGAGTGTTCTCTGTGCTATTTTTTGAATGATCTATTTTTTTCTCCCTTTCTCTGTTTTTAATGAGTAGAGTAATACTTTATCTCAAAGTGATTGGATTTTTTTTCTGTGTATTATATCCATTTTGATTTGTATTTGGCCAATGGTATGATATATTAAATAGCTTATATTTATTTGTGGGTGTTTCATATATATATTTCCTAATGCTGAGAATCACAAATAGCTGTGTAGAATGCTTCAACCAGCCTGATTACAGTGGATGTGCAATTGGATTGAGGAATGTGTACTCAGAGCTTATGAGCACTGGCCCAGTTGAGTCTGGGTGATGCATGTGGCTTTCAAGGGATGCTGCTATTTACATCTGTTAATGGCCCTTCTTGATGTCCAGCTCCCCAATGAGGTGATATGCACCAGCCTGGGGATGAGGGACCAAGGCTGCAGATGTGGCTGGGCTCTATTAAGCAGGACCAGGAATGTTTATCTGGTAGGCTTTGTGTTTGGTGGCGAGGAGGGGGGCGAGAGACAGAAAGAAAGGGGGGAAAAGAATGGAAAACATTGCATATCCAGGTATAGGGGAAACAGACAGGCAGACATGAAAAACTACAGCTGTAACTAGAGTACGAGTGAACAGAAAAGAAATGGAACTAGCAAATACACAAGTAGAAGGATTGACTAGTTCTCATATAGAAGGGGATTAAAACAGGAGAGGGCTATGAGGGTTTGGGAAGAGACATGTCACCTCTGCCTTTTAAGTCAATATCATTTGTTTGTGTAGCTGGCCAGATGCTGCTGAACAGAGCAGAGATTTACATATATCATAGTGCAGCAAGAGATGAGTTCTTTGCATCCTTTGGTTTTCTGGTGCTGGGAGAAAGCAAGAGCTCCTCACAAGGATGCAGTGTTGAACATTAGTAAATTCTTGCAGAAATGGAATGAACATACCTGAGACAAACCAGTAAAGAGTGTTTCTATGATTCTATCAAATGCTGGAGGAGAGTACAAGGAGCCTGGATCATGAAAAGCGTACAGTCCATGAGAAGTGATCCTCTTTCTGTTTCCTTGTGTGTTGAAGGTTTCTTGGAACAAGTGTCATAAAAGATGGAAATAGTATCTGTGTTAGTCCATTTGTGTTGCTATAAAGGAATGCCTGATGCTGGGTGATTTATAAAGAAAAGTTTATTTTGGCTCATGGTTCTGCACGCTGTGTAAGCATGGCAACTGTATCTGTTGGGCTTCTGTTAGGGATCTCAGGTAGCTTATGATCTTGGAGGAAGATGAAGGGGGACCCAGCACATTACATGGTGAGAAAGGAAGCAAGAGAAAACTGGAGGGCAAGGTGCCACACTGTTTTTTTTTTTCTTTCTTTTTTTGAGTTTATTTGAGTCACACCTGGGTGAGAGCAGTGCAGGACCTGGTGGGGCAGTGGGAACTTGATCTCGGCGTCATGGAACTGCTTGGCCGCCAGCTGGCAGCACTTGCTGGCCGCAGTCTCCACCTTTATAATCTGGTTGGAGTGGGCCCATGTGTGATGCTGAGGGCCCATGTCTCACTAGCACTAGATGCCAGTGCCCATGGTGATGAAGCCCTGGTACCCAGTACATGTTGTGGATGCTGCTACAGGAGTTGTAGTGCAGCCAGATGCCAGATTTCTTTACCTGCAGCGAGGATTTCTCAAACACCTACCCATAATAGACAATTTTCCCTGAAGACTTCTTATCTTCTTTAGCTGAGATACCAAGTACCAGAGGTGGGGCTTGGCGTGACATGATTAGGTGCAAAGATTTGCATACTATGTCATTTGCGGGTGGGCAGGCAGCAATCTACTACCTTGTACTCTTGTAATGTGCCCAAGACTTTCATAGCACTCTCTTCATGATTGCTTTCACCCACAAAAGGCCACACTCTTTCAAACAACCCCATCTAGCATGAGCTCAGAGCAGAGGAGGGCACCAAGCCATTCATGAGGGATCCATCCCATGACCCAAACACCTCGCACCAGGCCCCACCTCTAATATTACGGATCACATCCATCACAACATGAGATTTGGAGAGGACAAGCATCCAAACCATATCAGTGTCTTAGTATATATAGGGCAATAAAAGGAGAATTCTAGATTTAATCAACAGTGCCATGTCATTCTTCCACATGTTTCCTGAGTGCATTTAGATTTTGGTTTGAGCAGGCCCAAAGAAGGAACTGTGATAGTTTTGAAATACACAGTAGACTAGCTGTTCTCAACATAACTTAGCAGTATACTAGAATGTTTATTGTAGTTTCCTACATAGAGTTTGGCTCTTTAGCAATGTATATCTTTACATAATGGCTGTGCCTAGGTATATTCTGATACCTTCAAGGAACCTGAAAAAAATTCTGCATGTAAGAAACTTTTAATCATTTGTTTATTATGCCTTTCCAGATTGGTATGGTAGCTTGGAAAATGACGCTTAAAAGTCCTGAATATCCAGAAGGCCGAGATATCATTGTTATTGGCAATGACATCACATACCGAATTGGATCCTTTGGGCCTCAAGAGGATTTGTTATTTCTCAGAGCTTCTGAACTTGCCAGGGCAGAAGGTATTCCACGCATCTACGTAGCAGCCAACAGTGGAGCAAGAATTGGACTGGCAGAAGAAATTCGTCATATGTTTCATGTGGCCTGGGTAGACCCTGAGGACCCTTACAAGGTACACACTAAGAACAGATAATACTTCGAGGTGCTATATGGTTATGCTACATGTGTGGAGAGGTGGGGGAGACGTAGAGGTTTAAGTTTAAAAATCATTACTTATGGTAACAATTAAATATAAACAATTATTTATGAAAATCCTTAAGACACCATGTTAGAGACAAATTATTTTTTTTAATATGTTCACCTGGTTTTTCTTTCAGCTATAAACAGATTGCTGTTTCTTTACTTGAGCACTAGATGAAATAGTAGGTATGCATTTAGTGTGAGACTCGCTAAACCAAAAATATATATTTTTAAACTATTTCACTGTGGCTTCCAGGACTAATGGTCAATCATCCACAAAATCCCTTACATTCCTCAGCTTCTGCTCCAACCTACTTGCTTAGCTGGAAACTTGTCTCTCCTCTAAAGACGTTTCTTCCCCCGTTAGCCATCTCAAGTTCTGACGGATTTCTGTTTTTCTTTTGTACCACTGAGCCCAGAAGGAGAATGCTGTCCTCCTTGATCCTCATTACTGCTTCCAGACCCCTCTCCCTTCTCTCTGAAAAAAAATCCCATCTTTAAATCTCATGTCACCAGACTGTGCCATCACTGCTCCTTGTCTAAGTGTTTTCTGATGCTTTGGTCAGTCTCTCTCATTCTTTGCATCTTTTAGTTCCTGGCACATTCTCACTCTGTCCAGTACTACTAGTCATGTGATAATTCTTGGTAATTGCTATGTCCACATAGGTGATCCTTCCCATAATTTGGGCTCTTGGATCCTTGACTTCCTTTCTTCTGGTGGTCCTATCCTGTTCCCTCACCTCAGCCTCTCATTCCCCATAATCTCAATTTCAAGTATCTCTCCCTCTTTGCCACTCCCACCATCCTCTCTTTGCAACTCCCTCTCTCTAGTCCAACAATCCTTTGAAATCATCATGACCTGTTGACTTGAACTTACCTGTTGATCCTCCCACCTTTCTTCTGTTCTTCACTCCCTCCTTACACCTCATTTCATTCCTATCTAGCTTAAATTCCAAGGTCAATCTTTTATTAATCATTATAATCACCATCTTTTCTACACCTTCAACTTTCTCTCTCAACTTGCTTATCTCCTCACTCTGTTTACTCTGTGCCTTGTTTAAATACAACTCTCTCCATTCTGCTCCTATGTCTGCACCTGCCCAGCTGACCTTTGATGGAGAGAAAAAAATAGGACTGTTGACTGATCTTACTTTAAATTCAGGTTTACCAATCTCCTGATTGGATGATGGCTTCACATCTCTTCCCTGAAACCTTCAACACCCACTTCCCCTCTCCTCACTCTTAGCTGATATCATCAGACCTTGCTTCCCAATTCACTGAGAAAAGAGGAACAATGAGAAGAGAACTTCCTCAAGCTCCCGTGTACCTGCATCTGTTATGCCCTTTCTCTTCGCCTTCTCTCCTATACTTTGGATGAACAGTTTCTACTTCTGTCTAAAGCCAGTCCATCCTCATGTACACTTGATCTCCTTTCTTGCTAACTTAAGTGTATAATCAGCACTTCTCCTGTTCTTTTGTGCATTAGTACTTTTTCCCCTCTGCTATATCAGGCCTTTTAGCATACAAACACCCCTCCAGTCACTATCTCTCCCTCATTCCCTTTACAGGCAAAAATTTTTAAAAGAGTTGTTTGTTCTTGCTGTCTCCAGATGTTCTTATCCCATTCTCTCTTGAACCCACTTCAGCTGAGCTTGTACCCTTATCGTTCCACTGTAGCTGCTTTTGTCAAGGTCACCTGTGATTCTACATTACTGAATTCTATGGTGAATTCTTAGTTCTCACCTTAGTTATTTGACAATTCAGTAGCATCTGACACAGTTGGTTATTCCTTCATCCTTGAAATACTTTCTCCTGTTGGCTTCCACAACCCTAAAGTCTCCTTTTTATCTTCCTGTGTTCCGGCTCCTCTTTCTCAGTTTCCTTTGCTGCCTTTCATGTCTTTATATGTGAGAGTATTTCAGGAGATTATGGAAATAGTCTATATTTTGATTGTGGTAGTGGTTACATAAGTATTTGTCATAACTCATCAAATTAAAACACTTAAAACAGATAAATTTTATTGCATGTAAATTATACTTCAATAAAGATCATGGAAAAACTTTTTTAAAATATGGAAATTGATCTGATACAGGGTTTTTGTGGGGCTGACGAAAGTATTCTGGAATTAGTGGTAATGTTCGCACAACATCTGAATATGCTAAAATCTACTGAGTTATACATTTCAAAATGGTGAATTTTGGCTGGATGCAGTGGCTCATGTCTGTAACCCAGCACTTTGGGAGGCCAAGGCAGGCAGATCACTTTAGGTCAGGAGTTTGAGATCAGCCTGGCCAGCAAAGTGAAACACCATCTCTACTAAAATATAAAAAATTAGCCAGTCATAGTAGCACACACCTGTATTCCCAGCTATCTGAGAGGTGGAGAGGCATGAGAATCTCTTGAACATGGGAGGTGGAGATTGCAGTGAGCCAGGATTGCGCCATTGCACTCAGGCTAGACAACAAAGTGAGACTCAAAAAAACTTAAAAAACCAAAATGTTGAATGTTATATTAATTTTATCTCAATTTTTTTTTAAGAGACAGGATCTAGCTCTATCACTCAGGCTGGAGTACAGTGGCACATTCATAGCCTACTACATCTTCCAACTCCTGGGCACAAGTGATCCTCCCACCTCCACCTCCCAAGTAGCTGGGACTAAAGGCACACGCCACTACACCCAGCTAATTTTTTAAATTTTTCGTAAAGTCAAGGTTTTGCTGTGTTGCCCAGACTGGCCTCAAACTCCTAGCCTCAAGTAATCCTCCCACCTCAGCCTCCCCAAGTGCTAAGATTATAGGCATTAGCCACTGCGTCTGGCCGATTTTTTTAATTATAAAAAAATATGTGAATGGAGACATGTCAGGAGCACAGAGGTTGCAGCAGGACTAAGAAGTTCTGGACTCCCTGTTCTCAACCCCACCAGGACCCAGTGCCCTCTCACCTGGTGGTATGGCAAGGCAGCCAATATAGAAAGTAGAGTAGAAGGAAAAAAGTGATTCAAGGGCTTGGTCCCTGGACCACACCTCTTTTCCTGTTTACCTTCCCTTGGTGATCTCATCCTGGTTTTATTGTTTTTTTTTTTTGTTTTTGGTGACAGGGTCTCACTCTGTTGCCCAGGTTTGAGTGCAGTGGTGCGATTACAGCTCACTGCAACCTCCGCCTCTTGGGTTCAAACAATTCTCCAGCCTCAGCCTCCTGAGTAACTGGGACTGTGCACCAGCATGCCCGGCTAATTTTTGTGGGTTTTTTGTAGAGACGGGGTTTCACCCTGTTGCCCAGGCTGGTCTCGAATTCCTAAGCTCAAAGTGATCTGCTCGTCTTGGCATTGCAAAGTGCAGGAATAAGGTGGGAGCCACTGCACCCAGCCTTATCCAGTCTTTTAAAGCTTTAAGTTTCATATACAAGCTGATAAACTTCCAACTTTATATCTTACCCCTGAACATGAGATTCATATATCCAGACTCAACATCTCTACTTAATCTGCCTAAATTGTAGCTTCTAATCTTCCTGTAATGTGTTCTTCCCACAGTCTTCTTTGTCTCAACAGATGGTACCTCTGTTGTTTCATTTGTTCAAATAGAAGACCTTGGTGTTAGGCTGGGCGCGGTGGCTCAAGCCTGTAATCCCAGCACTTTGGGAGGCCGAGGTGGGTGGATCACGAGGTCAAGAGATCGAGACCATCCTGGTCAACATGGTGAAACCCCATCTCTACTAAAAATACAAAAATTAGCTGGGCATGGTGGTGCGCGCCGGTAGTCCCAGCTACTTGGGAGGCTGAGGCAGGAGAATTGCTTGAACCCAGAAGGTGGAGGCTGCGGTGAGCCGAGATCATGCCATTGCACTCCAGTCTGGGTAACAAGAGCAAAACTCCGACTCAAAAAAAAAAAAAAAAAAAAAAGATGACCTTGGAGTTATCTTGACTTCTCTCTTTCTTGCATACCCCACATTCCCTTCCACACCCCATTCATCCATCTAAACAGCAAATCTTGTTTACAACCCTACCTAAAAATATCCAGAATCTGAGTACGTCTAACCAATACCACTGCTACTTACTAGCAATAGCAGTAGTCTAACTCTTCTTACCTGCATATTGCAATACCCTCCTAAAAGGTCTTCCTGCCTCTGACCTTGCTCCCAGCTCCACCCAACGTCTGTTCTTAACAGAATGTGGAAATGAGGCCATGCTCATCCCTGTAATTCTAGCATTTTGGGAGGCTGAGGCGGGCAGATCAACTTGAGGTCAGGGGTTTGAGACCAACCTGGCCAACATGATGAAACCCCATCTTTACTAAAAATATAAAAATTAGCAGGGTATTGTGACAGGTGCCTGTAATCCCAGCTACTTGGGAGGCTGAGGCAGAATTACTTCAGCCCAGGAGGCGGAGGTTGCAGTGAGCCGGGATTGTACCACTGCACTACAGCCTGGGTGACAGAAGGAGACTCTGCTTTAAAAAAAAAAAAATGTAGAATGATCCAGTTAAAATATAAATCAGATCACAAAATTTTTCTCTGTTTAAAACCCTTTAATAGCTTCCCAACTCATTCAGGTAAAAGCCAAAGATCATATAGTTGCCTACAAGGACTTACATAGATCGGCTTTCCAGTACCACTCTGCCCTCATTTCTTGCACTGCCTCTCCCAACCATTCCACACATTGGCCCTACCTGACTCTTTACTTCCTTAAACTTGCTAAGCATACCATGCCTCAATGCATTTGTACTTGCTGTTCCTTCTTCCTAGGGTGCTTTTTCATCAGATATCTTCATGTCTCATAGCCTCAGCTCCTTCAGGTCTTTACTCAAATGACACTTTTCAGTGAGGCTTTCCTTGGTTATTTTTTCTAAAAGTTTGACTCTGCCTACCTTCTTTTATTTTTTTTCCTTAACATTATTCCCATTAACATTATTCATTTTACTTATTTTGTGTATTTCCTGACTTTCCCAGTAGGAGGTACATTTTATAAGGGTAGGAATTCTTGTCTGTTTTGTTAATACCTGTTTTTCCAGTGCCTGGAATAGTACCTTGTACATAATACTCACTCAGTAAATGGGTACTGACTGACATGCTAATGACACTCAGTGCTATCAGGCATTCTTGACACAAATCATGCAAGACCAATTGCAGATTCATGTCTCTTCCATGTTGTGCTCACTGTGGGACATAAATTTATTGGGTTAAATGGTGGGCATAATTTCTCATAGTATTTAAAATGTGTCCCTGTGTTTACTTATTTTTTTAACTGAGTAACTAATTCACTTAAGTTAAACACATATACCATGTATATGTATATCTACTTTGTATGTGGATGTGTGTATGTATAGATACATATAAATCAATTATGAAATGTTAGTATAATTTTTTAAATGTAAATGGGCATTAGGAATTGTTTGTTAAAAAAACAAAAGATCTGAGTTCAGTGTTCACTATCAACAGCACTGCTTAGACTTCTGATTTTAATATTGGATCTCCTAGATTTGTGATTCTCTCTTATCCCTTGCTCTTGTATATATTTTGATGATGCTGTGGATTTGAGAGAGCAAAAAATAGTAATTCACACAATTCTATAATTTCATGTTGATATCTTTAATATAGATGTCACTAAAGATCAGAAAATGACCCTTTAACCCTGTTGAAAATGAAATATACTTGGAATTACAGTTATAAGGTATCTTGTTTCAAGGACAGTTAGTGACTGCAAAAATAGGCGCTTATATCTTTCAAAGGAGGACTGTCTGTGCTAGTATTCTATTAGACAGTAAACCTAAGAAATGATGTGGCAATTTAAAGCTAGCTGTGGAACAAGCTTCATTGTGTATGTTTTGCTGTATCTTCTGGTTATATGACAATGGCAAATAATGAGTTAAAAACTATTTATGCTTCACAGGGATACAAGTATTTATATCTGACCCCTCAAGATTATAAGAGAGTCAGTGCTCTCAACTCTGTCCATTGTGAACATGTAGAGGATGAAGGAGAATCCAGGTAGGTATATAATATGTATTGGAATAATTTGGTCAGGACTAAAGAAAGGAGAATATGGTATTTATTTCCTTATTGCACAGCTGTTCATAACCTTGCAGAGCATTAAAGATGACATAATCTAGATGTCTTAGGTATATATCCAGCTCTACCACTTATTAACTGAAGAATCTTGTTATTGATTGAAGTTGTTAAATTTATACTTAATTCATTTTAGAAAAACTGAAACATGTAAACAATTATGAAGAAAAATAAAAATTAGCCACAATCTCACCCTCAGGCCATGATTATGAATTTATGTTATACTCTTGCTGTCTTTTCTAGAGACTTATCTTCTTTCTGTGTGATTGAGATTATAACAAGAATTTCTTTTATAATTTATCCTTTTCACTCAAAATTATTTTTGGGGAAATTTCAGGTATTCTTAAAATATTATTTAAGCATATGATGCTTAATGGCTACATAGTATTTTATTATAATAAATATATTTGAACATTCAGACTGTTTCTAATTTTTCACATCTCTGGGCTGAACCCCCTTAAGGGACATTTATGTAAGTTTTATATAAACTTTTAGGAATTAAAAGCTCTGATCATCCCTTGTTGGTTAATTTCTAGAAGTGAAATTGCAGGTCAGAAAGTCAATTTTTCAGGGTTTAAAACAATGATTTTAAATTGCCTTTCCAAGATTGGCATTCCTGGCAGCAGTGTAGAATAGGATTTGTTTCCCTCTTTAATTTTTCTTCACCCTTGCCAACATTGATTATTGTCAATTAATAAAATGGAATAAGAACAGCGGTTGTTATTTTAACTTGTATTTTTGACTCCCAGTGAAGTTGAACGTTTTTATTTAATCTATCTGCTAGTATTTTTAAGAATATTAATTGCTTGGATGGGCATGTTGGCTTATGCCTGTAATCCCAGCACTTTGGGAGGCTGAGGCAGGCAGATCACTTGAGGTCAAGAATTCAAGACCAGGCTGGCCAACATGGTGAAACCCCTTCTCTACTAAAAATACACAGATTAACTAGGCCTGGTAACTAGTCCCATATACTTGGGAGGCAGGGGTAGGAAAATTGCTTAAACCCAGGAGACAGAGGTTGCAGTGAGCCAAGATTGCACCACTGCATTCCAGCCTGGGCGACAGAGCAAGACTCCATCTCAAAAAAAAAAAAAGAATGTTAATTGCTCTAATATGATTTATTAAAAATTTACTCTTTTGCGTTTTTTATTCTGTCTGTCTACTCTGGGGTAATGCCACACTATTTCAGCTATTCTAGTGGGGCAAATTTTCTCACATTCTTTATTTTTCCTCAAGTCTCATTGGCTACTTTTATTTTAATGTAGAGAGTTTTTTTTGTTTTGTTTTTAGAGACAGGGTTTCCCTCTGTTGCCCAAGCTGGGAAGCAGTGGTGTGATCATAGGTCACTACATCCTCAAACTCCTAAGGTTAAGAGATTGTCCCATGTCAGCCTTCCAAGTAGCTGGGATATAGACAAGTGCCATCATGCCCAGCTAATTTTTTTTATTATTATTGTAGCTAATTTTTAAATTATTATTTTAGAGATAGAGTCTTGCTATGTTGCCCAGGCTGGTCTCAAACTCCTGACCTCAAATAATCTTCCCACCTCAACCTCTCAAGTAGCTGGGATTACAGGTGTAAGCCACTGTGCTTGGGTAGAGGTTAACGTTTTTCTAATGCCAAAATTGTTTCCATAATGATTTTGATTCAGATTGCATTGAGTTTACACATTAGTTTAAGATCGGACGTCTTCCTAATACTAACTCTTCCCAGAAAGAAACATGGCATGTTTTTCCATTTATGTGAGTGTTGTTTTTATTTTGTTTTGAAGTTTGATAGTTTTCTTCATATGGGTTTTGCCAGAGGTTCCCGAACTTTCTTGGTTCATGGCATCCTTAGTAATTTTTTTATAGCACCCTAGGCTATAAGATATACTTAATATTTCTGTTTATTAGGTAAACATCTTAATAAGTTTTTGTGTCCTAAGAACTTAATAATCATTTGAAAAAATATATACATAAATTGAAAAAATTTATTCTTAAATAATTACTTACTAATGAGATATTTGTGTCTGCAAAACATCTCAAACCTTGGAATCAGCTTGGATATAGCCACCCTAACTTCTTGTTCTTCGTTCAGTTTTCACAGAAACTTCAAAATAGCTTTGCAAAGACAAGACATTTTCAAAAGGAATGTAGCACTATTCTAATATTAAACTGTGAACTACTGTGAACTACCTAAAGCTACTAGTTCACAGATATCACATATCATAGTGCTTCTCTCAAAAATTTAAAATGTCTTGTAGTGCTTCTGGGAGTTCATCATGGTGCCTTGGGTCACAATATGGTTACAGTGAGATTCTGCCAATTTCGTTATGCTCATTTCTAAATATTTTGCATTTTTTTCTTGCTACTTTGAATGGAATTTTCCCCTATGATATTTTTTAACTCTTCATTTCTGGAATCTATGAATATTGAGTTTGTTACAGGCAAGTCTGGCTGGGTTCTTGACTGACTATATGGACCTTATAAGAACAACAGACACACACACACACACACACACACACATATACAATTAATGTAGTTAATTAACCGCCTTAAGGGACAGTAGCTTCATTTCTGACATAACTTTAGGATAGTCTAGATACAGGACAAAAGGAAGAATTAGGAAATTATTGGATATTTGGAAAGGCTGAAAATAGAAAGACAGCAGAATCTGGGAAGCAGAGATGTAAAGTCACAGACCAACAGCAAGGGCAAAGAAAAAGAATTGATGGAGGGCTGGAAATGAAGAAGGGAGCCGGAAAATATGGAGGCAGGAGGAAGTAGTTTAAGAGCCACTAAGGGATACTTATTTATTATTTCAATTTATAAAACTGTGCCCACTGCCAAGCCTTCTGGGTACACGTGGAACAATAAATAATATATGCCCATCTCTACTTCCAACTTTGTATTTTTCCTTACTTTTATTAGTTGCATTCCCCATTTCCCATTTCCCATTATCAGCTATCACTCCTAAACCCCTGCCAGGAAGACAGATGAATGACCCCCACTAGCTCCCACTAGATCCACAGGATGCTTTCTGGACAACTTGGTCAGCATTTCACTTCTACGCACATTCCACCTGCCCCTCCAGAGGACTATATCCAGGGATCCTTGTGTATGTAGCTGATATTTATGAAGGAGCAGGAATGCGAGTTCAGTATTCTGACCTTCGCTTCATCTGACCTTAGAAGATTTTTGACTTGAGAAACTGAGCTGAGCATTCTCACTACCTCTCGATTTAGATATTTTCTTCCTATGTAAAATTGTCCAAAATTGTTGATATAATATTTATTGCTCATTATAGAGATATACATTGATCCTGCTTTTCAGAAACTTGTTCTAGAAAGTAAGACAGGGCATCTAAAATCTGAGGGCCATCTATAACATCAACCCTTCTCCTTGTTTGCTTTAGTTTAACTTTCTTGTCAACCCTTAAAGGTAGATATTATTATTTGTAGAAGTTATTACTCTCCCAAGAGTCACACTCCTGCATGTATCAGAGCAAGGATTTAAATCTATCTGCTTAATTCCAGATTTTGCTCTTTCTATTAAACCATATTACTTCCAAGTAAAATAGACACCAAGCTAAGAAGGAAAGACATATGAGTGAAGAGTATAAAAGAAAGCACATAAAGCCCTGGTATTAAATATAAGCTTTCAATACTCTCTTAGCAGCCTTTTCACAGTGATTATTCTTTTAATGTCTTGTTGTTACTGTGTTTAACCTTCATAATTTGACATGACCATATCCAATAGGTACAAGATAACAGATATTATTGGGAAAGAAGAGGGAATTGGAGCCGAGAATCTTCGAGGTTCTGGAATGATTGCTGGAGAATCCTCATTGGCCTATGATGAGATCATTACCATCAGCCTGGTAAATCTTTCCAGAATGTGAAATTTTTGAAGAGCTGGCTGTGTGGCTAGGTTTATTTTTTCTCCTATCACTGCTATTCAGTCCCAAATTGTACATCAGCAATTTTATTTTAATCATGCATGATAATAGGAAGATAGGATAATATAAATAACTGAATTTCCCAAATAAACCTAGCACTTTGTTTTAGCTTTTAGTTTAACTTCTTTTTATTTCCTTCCCTCCCTCCCTCCCTCCCTCCCCTCCCTCCCTCCCTCCCTCCCTCCCTCCCTCCTTCCATCCTTCCTTCCTTCCGTTTCACTCTGTCGCCAGGCTATAGTGCAGTGGCACGATCTCAGCTCACTGCAGCCTCTGCCTACTGGGTTCAAGTGATTCTCCTGCCTCAGCCTCCCCAGTAGCTGGGACTTACAGGCGTGTACCACCATACCGGGCTAATTTTTGTCTTTTCAGTAGAGATGGGTTTTCTCCATGTCAGCAAAGATGGAGAATCTCTTGACCTCATGATCCTCCTGCCTCAGCCTCCCAAAGTGGAGAATCTTTTTTAAGAGACAGGGTTTTACTCTGTCACTCAGGGTATAGTGGGTACAATCATAGCTCACTGCAGCTTTGACCTCCTGGGCTTAAGTGGTCCTCCTGCCTCAGCTGCCAGGTAGCTAGGACTATAGGCATATGCCACCAGCTAATTTTTAAATTTTTTTGTAGAGATGAGGGTCCCACTATGTTGCCAAAGTCAGTCAGTTGTTTTTTTTTTTGAGACGGAGTCTCACTCTGTTGCCCAGGCTGGAGTGCAGTGGCATGATCTCAGCTCACTGCAAGCTCTGCCTCCTGAGTTCAAATGGTTTTCCTGTCTTGGCCTCCCAAATAGCTGGGATTACAGGCGCATGCCACAATGCCCAGATAATTTTTGTATTTTTAGTAGAGGCAGGGTTTCACCATGTTAACCAGGCTGATCTCAAGTAATCCACCCACCTCAGCCTTCCAAAGTGCTAGGATTGCAGGCATGAGCTGCCTTGCCCAGCCCCAAGCTAGTCTTGAACTTCTGGGCTCAAGTGATCTGCCCACCTCAGACTCCCAAAGTGCTAGGATTATAGGCCTGAACCACTGCACCCAGCCTGAATTTTGAATCACTGAATTTCTTTTCTTTGACTAGGAAATGTGTGTGTGTATGTGTGTATGTTATCAATCAAACAGACTTTACAAAAAGCAATGTTTATTTCTGTTAATGTGGATTTTACTTATATATGCCTTAGTTCTTAAAGCTTCAGAGAGGACATAAATATATGACATGTAGAATTTATTCTCTTTTAAGGTGACGTGCCGGGCCATTGGGATTGGGGCTTACCTTGTCCGGCTGGGACAGAGAACCATTCAGGTTGAGAATTCTCACTTAATTCTAACAGGAGCTGGAGCCCTCAACAAAGTAAGTTTCTAGGGTTTTGAAGAAGTATGCATAGCTGATTGAAGATTATTGTGTGAATTCTTAATTCAAGATCCTGGTTGGAAGGAAGCAATTCAATCCATGCCTTCCTCAGTCTATCTCTTCCCATCATTCTCCATCTTTTCTGCCCATTGACTTGCTTACCTTTTTATTCATTCATTCATTTCATTTATCAACTATATTGAGTACTTACTATTTTCTAGGCACTATTCCCAGCCCTGTGTATATGTTAGTGAACAAACCATATAAAACCTGTACTCCACAGAGCTTATAGTATCTTTGTAGAAAGAATTAATTGAATGCTTCTGTTCTATCCCACCTCTCCACTCCTTTTCTTAATCTACTAGTAAAAGATGTGAGGAGAACTATACTCACATATTGAGCTGTCTGTGATTCCAGTTGTGCAAGTTCCCATTTCAGGCCTACATCATGAATTAGGTACTGGCCTAGGTGTTGAGGATATCAAGTTTTAATGGTTTTGTGAAATATGTGAATACATCTCTCAAATAGGGCATCAATGGTGGTATCTTGTGCATAGAAGAAATATTTGGCAAATATTGAGTGGGAAGATGGGTGGATGGATGCATGGATGAATTACTGGGAAAGAGTATGCGTAAAGATTTATCTTCCCTTCCAAAGAAAGGTTCGTGCCTTTTTAATCCAACTTCACAAGGTCTTCCAAAGGGGAGAAAATAATGGCAGGTCACTGCTCGTAAGAGTGAAAACTATCTAAGAATACCTAAATATATAAAAGACAATGCAGTTGACATCTTTGCAAGCATAAGAAAATTATTTTCTCTTCCGGGCCAGAAAAATGCAATGGAATAATCTGAAGCTGACCACCCTTGTGCAGTTTATATAACCTCTCAAATCCTCAGCTTTCTTATCTGTCAAAGGGGGATAATAACTTAAACCTTTAAATAATGCAGAGCTCAAATGAGGAAACATAAGTAAAATACCTAGTTCTTCTGGGCATGCCTAGATTCCCAGTTACTCAGGAGACTGAAGCAGGAGGATAGAGGATAGAGTGAACCCAGGAGTCTGAATCCAGCCTGGGCAATAGAGTAAGACCCCATCTCTTTAAAAAAAAAAAAAAAAGTACCTAGTTCTTGGCAAAAAGTGTTGGCCCTCATTAAAATTTCAGTTTCCCATTCCTCTCTCTAACATGATTTGGTGATTGAGCTTATGGAGTTAATACATATACTAAATTGTATCGGATATTATGTTTACTACACTTGCAGGAACTTTTTATCAAGTCTTGACTTTGAAGTGTAAGGATAAGAACTAAGTGTTCTATCATTCCCATTTAGGAACAAGTTGATAATTTCACTTGTTTAATTAGATTTTGTGGATGTCAGAAATTTGAGGAATCGTTTGATGCCATCAGCTTGCTCTCTGCGTTCAGATGAACTCTGTGTCCTCCTCTGGGTTTGCTTTCCCCACTAAGGAAAGGCACAGCAGTGCTAACAGTGGCAAACTTGGCTGTCTTCCTCCCTTTTTGGAGAGTGGCCTGGAAATAAAGGTTGTGAACCACTACTACTGAAGATTATTATTGCAGGGGGAGTCTTAAGGGTTTTTGTTTTTGTTTTTTAAGTTGTTCTTTTGGATACCTTGTTAGGATGAGATATTGATGAATGCCGAAGAGAATTTTAGGTACCATTATCTATGAGAAGAGAATTTTTAAAAGATACCTGTATTTCCATGATGTTCCCATATCCAGTCAGAGAGCTAATTTCTGAAATGTATCTTCTTATATTGAGTTTCTTCCCCCTTCCCAGATACTGTATTATATACAAAAAATATTACAAAAAGCAGATGTTGGGTTTTGTTTTGCTAGAAAACTTGCTAGTTGAATTTCATTTGTGCCATAAAGAAACACTAAAGATTGATTTCTTAAAATGTGATTGAATTGTTCTAATCAAATTCATTATCTTCACCTTTATAGCTTACAGGGCTGCTTGTAAAAAGAAAAGCTTAGTTACAGGGGGAAAGACAAATAAAGCCATAGTTTCAACTTACCAAACAATGCTCACTTCCAAAGGACATGATCATTTTTAGCTGAAGGGAGTGATCGGATACAGAGGTTACCTAATGTTGCTCTGCCTGCTTCACTGTCTTTACGTCAGCTCCCCTTAAGTATAGAGCTGTGCTGCTGAAGACACTGATTTTATGCAGATTCGTTCAGAATGTCCTATCAGCCCCTTTGCCTATCAGGTATGAAAAAGGAAACTACCATGCTCAGATGGCTTCCTCTGACTCACTCCTTGTGCGTGTTGTCTTTGTGTGTGCTGGTGTCTTTCTTCATCTCTGTTTGCCTTTCTTCCTTTCTTTCTGTAGGTATCTCTGTATTGTGTACTCTGGGTGTGTGCAAGTCACCCTGAGTGCATGTCTCTTTCTGTGTGGGTGCTGATTTGTCTCTTTGTGTCTGTCTTGCATATAGATCCCACTCTTTCTCTCTGTGTGTACCTCCCTGAGTGTCCATGTGTGAGAAAATCTTTGTGTGTTTGAAACATTATAGTCTCCTTTCTTAAGCCTTGGCTGTTTTGCTCCTAGTATGTACCTGTGTAAAGTGGAAATGTAGGAGACATATGCAAGCTTATATACAGTTTTAGACTGTAAACCTTTGACCCCCACCTTTTTGAGTCTTCATCCTTTATGTTAAACATTGGGGTGAAGAATAAGGAGTGGGGGTATGTAGAGGTTGTAGGGGAAAAAAATCTTGTGTGTGCAAGTGCCGATCCCGTTGACCCCTTTGAAAATTGAAATAATGATAATGCGCGTCTCCTGACTGCATCAAAGTATCAGCACATCAAAAGCCAGGAGGCATGAAATGCAAATGATAAAGTGAAAGCAGATGGATTGTGCATGATCGCCTGATGCCCAATGAATTTTAAAAGGTGCTGGTTTGCAGGAAGGGGGGATTGGGGGGTTTTGGTGGGGGGGACTGAAATAAACACGTTATCCCTGCAATTTTTTTTTTTTGTTCTTGATGCTCACTCCTGACAATATTTTTTCACACTTGAGTGAACACCCACTCCATCTCTCTCTCTCTCTCTCTCTCTCTCTCTCTCTCTCTCTCTCTCTCTCTCTCTTTCTCTCTCTCTCTCTCTCTCTCAACTCTCTTTCTCTCTCTCTCTCCTCTCCAATTCCCCCCCACCCCCACCTCTTACATGTCTCAGGTCATGTCGCTGCAGCTCTGGTGGAAATAATAAGATATAAACCACGAGGTTGTTATTTGCATAGAAATAGCATGGAGCCCCAGGCAGCAAGGGAGAAGGACACAGGGATCATTTGTCTAAAATTTTAATGAAAACTTTTGCTGAGGCAGAGATTTTTAAAAACTTTTTTTCTCCCTGCTTTTCTCCTTCCTTCCCCTACCCACTAAACCCCATCATTGATTTTACTTAACATGGTTCAGTTTGAAGAGAAAAGGTTGACACTCCACATATCATACTCCCCTAATATAGCAACTTGTAAATTGTTTGTTCCTTTAATAGATATGAAGCTGAAGAGACATGCATTTTCAACTTAATACATTGCATGTGTGCATCAGGCTTTTATGGCTATACTCTATCTCAGCATACACATGATGTTGCCTGTCCTTAGCCTGTTTTTTTTTTGTTCTTGTTGTTTGTTTGTTTTTTGTTTTGAGACAGTCTCACTCTGCTGCCCAGGCTGGAGTGCAGTGGTGTGATTTCGGCTTGCTGCAACCTCCGTCTCCTGGTTTCAAGCCATTCTCTTGCCTCAGCCTCCTGAGTAGCTGGGACTACAGGCGGGTGCCACCACACCTGGCTAATTTTTTGTGCGTTTAGTAGAGATGAGGTTTCATCATGTTAGCCAGGATGATCTCGATCTCCTGACCTCGTGATCTGCCTGCCTCAGCCTCCCAATGTGCTGGGACTGCAGACGGAGCTACTATGCCTGGCCTAGCCTGTTTTTAATTAGTTTACACCTTCCTATCTTTTGCTTCCAGATTCTCTTTAAAGGATTTCTTTTTATAGCCAACAGTAGTAACCTGCATATAAAATAAATATTTTCTGGTGTGTTTTTTTTTTTTTTTTTCCACTTTTGGTGGTTTTTCTGTATACTTAGATCTTTTATTCATGGACACCATCCTTTGCCACTGTGTCTTTTGTTCCAAAACCAGAAGGTGTTTTCCACCTTTGTGTTTTTATCCTTTTCCCCCTGTGAACTCACTATTTGTGTATACTCTTTCCATGTCTGTCTTGCTTTATTGCCTGCAGTTATTTGTAAAATACTCAAAATGGTACCCAAATTGAGATGAGATATAGTATCTGGATTTTCTTGAGTGTTACTAAGCACATTTGACATTAGCACTAAAGGCAGTAGGCCGGTGATTAGAAGTAGCCCAAGTGGCTTTATTTGAAATTTACAGTCAAGAATATCTGTGTGGTTCTTTGCTATCTTCTGGAAGGGGCTAATGGTATCAGGGCCATATTTTGTAGACAGGAAGGCAAAAACAGTAGAAGGGAAAATGACTTAGTTTCATTGACAGAGAATAGATCAGGGTCAGAAAAGTGTTGAAGAAAGATGAGCCCTCTTTGCTTAGTAGTCTATAAAACCTAAGAGAAGGTGGTCTAGTCATTTTCCTGTTTGTTCAAATGTCGTGAGAATGATGCCATTAATAAGAGAAGCTTCTAGGGGCTCGCTATTTCGTGCCACTCAGAGTGTACATCATAGATTCATAACTCTAAGAACTGTAGGCTGTGGGTGACATTCCTAAAAATGCCTCACTGCATGGCAGACCTGATGGGTGTGGCAATTACCCTGCTTGAAGGGAGTCATGCTGGCCTGGCAAAGGCAGCAACCTGTGTACTTGGGAAACTGGTAAGGTATACTTTTAAACAGCTGAGATGATTGCAGAGTCATAAACTCCTAAGTCCAAGTGCCACTGGAAATTTGCAGAGATATTCATATTTACTTTCCCTCCCCCACCACTCTTCCTCTCAGTTTCCTTTTTG